AAGCATCAATGCTATGTAGGAAAATCTCCCTATACCTCGACCCACCTGCCACAGAGGGCCTGACGCACTTAGCTGACTCCGTTTATGGACTCACCCAAATCTAGAGCTAAGGCAGCGGGATAGTCACCACGTGATCTGCTTGACTTGGTTGAGCCAGAGGCTCACAAGAAAAATGCGGAGGTCCTCCAGCCAAGCCTAACCATGGCCATGAGAAAAGAACGCTACTGCATTGGTGCGTACGCCAAATGCAGGTGCGAGTACGCTCATTCGTGCGACAGGGCTGTCTGAGGTTGGGCAGTAGGATAGATGAGTAGATTGTCTGATCCTCAAGGCGTGGCGGACTCACACGGTAGGGCTCTAACCGGACTCCCTGCACCGAAACCGGCTTAAGCGATCCCACTCTAGTCATTTTAATAGGGAATTTATGAGTAAGTGGTGACGGAGAGAATCTGTGTCAAAGTATTTTTATCAGCTAACTTTGTACAACACAGGTTTCAAAACACAGTGAACGGAAATCGGTTGGAGATTTCTGGAATGTCCTTCGTTGGTTGAGAGGCGGCGCAGATCAGAACGGTTTGGTGCACACAGGGCTGTCTTCAGATAAAGGGAGTCCATGGCTGTTGATTCTCGGTAAGTATGGTAGTTTTGAAGAATTTGCCACAGCGTGAATACTCGCTGAATGCCTTCTAGAAGTTTTGAGACAGTTGGAATTATTACAAGTGTAAGTGAAGGCAATCTATTCTGAAAAGCCGACAAGCTCTGTACAGCGGTTTCATCCTTATTTAGAATCATAAGCAGTGCGCTTGTCACAAAACTCCAGAGGGTTTCGAGCCCATGACCTCCCGACTAGAAGTTTGAACACTTAACCTTTGGACCACGTGAGGCTAGCCAGCAGTGTGAGTAACTCATCACTCGTTCCTCAGTCGCAAAATCCACATTCTGTAGTTCTGTTCTTCATTACTGCTGAAGTAATGCCTTCTCAGATGAAAGTTTCACTCACCTTGCAAATTTATTCTTTCTCTGATCTGCTTCTGGATGATTGGTGGTGTGAAGAGATCTCGTAATTTTCCTTTGAGATCTCGTCTTGTTAATGAATCCAGTATTCTTCAACTGGATGTGCATCACAAAGCCCTTCTCATGTCACAGATGTACTCTTTTCCAGAAGTCGCAGTATATCTGCTTTACGTAACCCACTACACATTGAATTACTGAAATCCCTTCGACAACCCCATACCAGCTTTGGTGCTCTCCGAGCTCAACAAGCCGACCTAGCCCCCAAGTTTCCATCGGTCTTACATTCCACTTGAACACCAAATTATGCGTCATTGAA